GAAAAACTACTGCTTCTCAGAGCATCAAATAATAGTATGATTTCTAACACTTCAATGGTTTGAACAGTATGTCATCTTCACAGCACAAAAAAATATATTTCCTTCAAGGATGAGACAAACTATTGATTTAATTCAATAGCATTTGTTAAGCACTAACTTGGCAGCAAGCAATGTTCGACCTAAGGGAAAGACAGAGACAAAAATAAAAGTTTCTATTTTATCCTAAAGAAGATACACATTGAAGCTTCCTGGGCAAGACAACCGCATGATCAGATTTATAATGTAGGAATATCAATTTTATCAATTGTGGAGCTATGTGGAAGGCGGATCTGAGAAGAGAGATGATGGAGGGTGGGAGCACAATTTGGAGGTTACTGCAGAAACTGAGACAATAGACAATGACATCATAAAGCAGGGTGTTAGACACCCATTTAAGTGCAGAAAAAAGCCTTGGATGAGACAGAGCTTATACAAATAGAGTCAATAAAACTTGGTTCATAGATTGGATTGGGCTATAAGGAAGAGAGGAGAGAATGGTGGTGCCCTTACCAGTAGTAGAGAGAAGCTAATTAAAGGGATGGATTTGGGGGAGGGGAAGAAAATGAGTTCTTTTTGGGACTTGCGGAATATGAAATGCCTTTGGGATGTCCAGGTCAAAATGTCCGGCAGGTAGCTGCTAAGATGGGTCTGGAAGATGAATAACTGCCCAATTTAAGAAGCTTTTCAGCAAAATTTAAATGATAATGTTACTTCATGGCATATAAATTGAATGAGAATTTCACTGAAAGAAAACCAACAGGTATTGATTTAAGCCATTTTGGGGCATAGTTTAAAATAGATGGAAAGAATCTCCAAATGATACCTTTTTGTTTTACACTTACATGATTGTTTCAGTTTGTTTTTGGGACATTGTATGTGTATAGTGTATAATTGTGGGTGAGGAAAACAGGAATCTATGGGGACAGATTAGCATCAAAGTATTGAAGCTATAATGAAGGGACAAAAATAAAAAGTGCAAGGGGAAAAATAAAGGAAAACACAATTACAATGTGAAATTATTAAACAGTTTACTAAAATAAAAGACAGTGACAGAATAGAAACAAAACCCAATATCTGTTTTTTACCAAAAAAAAGTCTAAAATGTAAAAAACACACAGAATAGAAAATGAGAGGTTGGTATAACATTTATTATTCATCAGGTGACTTCAAAAACAAGATTTGCCACATTAAAATTAGTAATTAATACAGGGAACACAAGCAAAAGATATAGACAAATAATGTTATCCTAAACAATGATTTGGTAAATGAACAAATCATTAAAACAACTGTGTAAAAGAGAATGATAATGATACTGAAATAGCATACCAAAAATATATGGGACAAAGCTAAAGCAGTTGCCACAAGAAAAGTTAATTTACAAGAAAATACATTAACAAAAAAGAAAATGATAGGTTTAAGTGAATATGAGATTTTTTTTAAACTAGAAAATCAATAAAGATAAACCCAAGATGAACACCAAAAAAGAAATCTTGAAAATTAGAGTAGAAATAAACTGGAAAAAAAGACAATAGAAATGATTTTTAAAAAAACCTAAAAAATTATTTGAAGAGATTAATACAATTAATAAACTTTTAGCAAACTTGATTAAACAATGAAACAGTAACTAAATTCACAAAATAAAAAATGAATGAGGCAAAATTACAAAAAATAAAGAAGAAAAATTTTAAATTATCAAACCTATTACACATTTTAAATTCTCAGTTTTGCTGTCACATAGCTCTATACCAGCAAAACTGAAGATTTAAAAGAAATCCTGTTAATAGCTTCAGTAAAGGAACAGAATACAAAATAAACCCCACAACAATTAACAGCTTTTCTATATAACAATAAAATATTCAAGATGAAATGATAGGTTAGTCCCATTTAAAATAACTATTAATGTATAAAACATCTTGGATTCAATCTACAGAGCCATACTCAAGACCAGAATAAATACAATTATAAGATATTCCTTAAAGAAATAAAGAACCACTTAAGTAACTAGAGGGACAGTTAATGCTCATGACTGGAACAAACTATCATAATAAAATTAATTTATAGATTTAGTGTTATATTAAATACTAACAAAAAGCTATTTTGTAGAGTTAGGGGAAATAAATAATACAATGCATGTGGATATTAAAAGAACTAGAAACGCAAGGGAAATTTTGGGGAAAAAACAAAAAAAAAGGAAATTCCCAGACTTCCAAGTAAACTAAAAAGCAGTAATCAAAATATTTGGTACTGATTTAAAAATGTAAAAGTAGATCAGTGGAACAGATTATATAGGGAAGAAGTAAAACAACTAACCTTAATAACACAGTCTTCAGTAAACCTAAGAACGTTAACAACTTTAGGAAGAATTCTCTGGTTGACATAAATTGACTATAAAAAGTCACACCATGACAGAAAAAGATAGAACACAAGAAAATCAGGAAGTTTTCATAACCATGGCTAAGGGGATACTTTTTAAAAGATTGTTGTCTAAAAATTATTCTGTGTTGCTTGATTTTATCTTTTTTATTTATAGTTTTTTAAAATTTTTTATTTCAACTTTATTTTCAAACACCCTTCTTCCCTTCCCTCCCCACCAATCTACCTCTATAATGAAGGTTAAAAAAAAAGAAGAAAAACAGTTCTGCAAAAACAACCAACATTTTCTTAAGGAGACAATTCCTAACAAAGGATAGAGGAGATCATAAAAGAAAAATAATTTCAATTATATGAAATTTAAAAACTTTTACATGAACAAAATCAATGCAGCTAGGTTAAGAAAGAAGCCCATCAGCATGGTTAAAACTTTGCAACTTGAAATCACACAACCCCACCAACTGTATCTACTAAAAATATAAATACAAATAAATATAAAAATAATCTCAACTGGGCCCTCACAGAAGCAAGAAAGTCCTTTTATTCTTCTTAAATAATTTTCTGTCACATCCTACATAACAGCTGTTCTAAACCTTCCCTGTTCCCAAGTCTTCCTTATCTCCCTTCCCCTCTCCAATAGAAGCTCATGCTTCATATTTTACTTAGAAAATAGAAGCAACTGAGGTGGCACAGCGGATAGATAGAGCACCAGCCCTGGAGTCAGGAGGAACTGAGTTCAAATGTGACCTCAGACACATAACACTCGCTAGCTGTGTGACCCCAGGCAAGTCACTTAACCACCCCCCTAAAAAAAGAAAAGAAAATAGAGGCAACTTATGTTGAGTGCCCTCTTCTCCCCTACTCCATATCTCAAAATCCATTCTCTTCTCCAATATTTTACCCTCCCCCATTCTTTTTCTCCTTACTCCAGTCTTTGATGAAGAGTTGGCCCTTCTCCTTGTCAAGATCAACCCATTTACAGGTACCCTTGAGTCTATCCTTTCCTGTTTTCACCAGCAGATTAACCCCACGAGCATCCCCCTTCCCATCTTCAATCTCTCCCTATTTACTGGCTTCTACAAATCTGCCCTACAAGTCCATCCTATCCTTAAAAAAAAATCTACACTTAACCTTACCATCCCTTCAAGCTATCAGCATATATCTCTCCTGCCTTTAGCAACCATGCTCCTACAAAAAGCTTTCAACACTTGTTGCCTCTACTTCCTAATCTTTCACTCAAGTTGATCTCACTCCAAATTTAGCAGTGTTTTCTTAATTGACATGTCTGATCACCTTTTCTCAATTCTAATCTATCTTGAGCTCTCTGCAGCATTCGATGCTGATGGTTGATTATTATACCACTGGCCTCTGTTCACAGGAAATCTTTGACATATTCAATCAGCCATCAGCCCAATATTTGATTCCTCCCAACTCTTACAATCTCCTCTTTTTTACTGTCTGTCTTCTGCTTTTGCTCTTAAGGTTCTGTCTTAAGATACCAGCTCCTCCTCTATGGCTGTGTGTCTGAACCTCAGCTGCCATGTACCCCAAATATATTTGAATGGCAGAGACAGCAACCACCTTACTCTATAAAATCTGGGGACTATCTTTCATTAAAACATTTAAAATAGCTGGGATACCACATTTGCAGTTCATTGTATCCAGTCCACACTGTCTATGGTTGTTACTCAGTTATAGGCACTTTTGCATATAAATAATACCGGAGGATGATAAACATTAGATCAAACAAAACAATATAATTTGTAGATGTGTACTTTTATAGACTCAGCCTTACTATATGTGTGGGACTTATTATAAGTTTATTGGAGGTTGTCATACTACAGAGAAGAAGTAGCTCTGGTCCTCAAGAAGCCAAGATGAACCAAGAAGCATGATTAGAAACATATCTGCATGTAAGAATAAACTATATTCACAAGTATATGTTTAGGGTTGGGAGCCTTATTCTCTTGACTTGGAATACATTTGACATCTTCTTTTTGGTTAGAACAGGTCCTATCTGACCATGCTTCTATAGGAAATTTCCTCCTCAAATTTCCCCCTGCCCATCCTGATCTTAATTAATCCGTGTAACTGTTTAGTCCTGACACTTCAAAACATCTTCAGTACACCTTTAGCAACCGGTTGTAAAGTTTCTGAAGTCACTACTGACCACTTTAGTTTCTTAGCGTATGCAAAATTCATACATTTGTGACATGCAATTAATAATAAAGAAAGCAACTGAACTAAAATTTTTGGCATTATTTTAATTAAAAATTTGACTGTGAAATGACATCAATGGAATTGACTACATCTGGAAACATTACATAGTATGTCACATTGATGAATAAATTAGATCATAATTAAATTTCATTAATTTTAACTACTTTAAATGCAAAAATGTGTAATTGATTAAGAAGATAAAGTACACATGAAAGCAATAACCTAATGTTACTAAATAATTTAAATTTCCAAAATGTAAACATTATTAAACCCCAAAACATACAGTTTTAATGAGATGGAAATTTTATCTTTTTTTAAATGAAACTCACCAACATTGAGTTTTTTAAAAATAGCTTTGCAGCTCAACTTACCCAGGGTGCTGAAGGTACAATAAGGGTCAAAATAAGCAAGTCACTGCAGCATTCCTCCAAAGACTGATTACATCTCTTCATCTGATTTATCAGTCTAGAATACACCACAATGGGGAGAACTTGCAGAGATTGCTTGTGGGACCCCTGTCCTGGGGCTAGAATGAAGTTCAGTGTTTGTCTCATACCATGCAGGTGTCTATACAACTGGCTAAGTTTTGTTTCAAGGGCACTCTGAAAATAAAGATTAGAGAAAGATTTGGTAAACATCTGAAAATAAAAGAATGTTAATTATGCTAGGTGAAAGGCCACAGAGTTCTACTTAAGCACCTGCAAAAGTCAGGAAAAGTATGCCAATATTTATAAAACAATCTCTTGGGAAATTATGGGAGATGTCAAATTTTAAGGCAATCTCCCCTTCCTTTCTTCCTTTGCTTCCAACCATCTGTGAATAATATGTGCTGAGGGGGTATGATCTGAAAGTATGAAACACAACAAACTGCAAGACTTTTAGCCTTTTATAACAAAATATTTTGTTAAAAGATCAAAGCCTCAAGGAAGACTAGCCTGATTGTTAGGTTTTTGTAAAGAACAGCTCAGAGCAAAAATAAAAGAGGGTGGGAGGGGCAGAGAAAAGAAACAAGAAAAGAAAAAAGAAGAAAGAAAAAACTCTCTAACTTCTAAACCAGAACATCAGCAAAACATAAACAGGATTATGTTTATCTTATACCTACCACAGAACTTCCTTGTGTTCATTTCCTGTGTAAACCTTAGCCAGCTGGACACAAAGTTGGTTGGACAGCATACTTTACTCATAAGAGATTATTTTAAAGATTTAGAGCTCATTTTGAAGCAAAATTCATGAAGAAATACTTAAATGTGCAAAAATGAAATCATAATAACCAGAACACAAAAAAAGTGGAAAAAATATACTACAGTGAAAAGCTGGTACAGTGCCTACCCTAGATCTGTACCCCTCAATTTGAACTTGCAGGTTAGATACCTCCAGGACAACTACTCCAGATTCAGGGTACTTTGTAGGTCTTCCCTCCTAAAGCTATATTGCATGATTCTCCACTGTTGCATTTACCTTTAATGATCCTCCAGGGACACAATTAGCTGAAACCAAAGGCATTAATACAATGGAATCATAATAACAGTAGCTACAAAACATTTCCCCTGTAAACCTGAGGCACACAGTTCCGCAAATAAACACGATGGCAATGGGAAGAGTGTATAGGAAGACATGTAGTCATGGTAATAATTGGCCAATAATGAAGAAGCCATATGTCATTTCTCTCTTAGCGGCTTCCTCATCCTGCTCCCCCGAACTCAGCATCTCTCCAGAAATGTCACTGCTCACGGGCTCCCTACCCCTGCTCACTGCTGGGTAAGCAAGGCTAGGTGCTGCATTCCAGAGATGATGGGGGGATGGCAAAGAAAGAAATCTCTTTTTCCAGGAAGTAAAGAGTCCTCTCAAGGTTTGTCTTTGATAGTTTCTTCTCGATTGCCAAAACACAGATTCCAGAACTGCCTCCTGTTTTGACTCAGTGTCTAGAGCATATATCTTGCTTTTTAAAGGCCACCAGGAGCAAGGCTGATCCTTTGGCCAACCACCTGCTACTTGCCCTACAATTCCATCAAGTTCAATTAAGGAATGTCTACACTCCTCCTAAGGAAGTACCAAAGGGAAAGCCTTTCTTTATACTTTAAAAATTCAATGCCTTATTGTCACCTACCTTACATTCTATAATTTTATCAATTCTTCCCTGTCTCTATTACTTGCCTCTTATATTGTGTCTGGGGAGAAATCAATTGATCAAGTATCCCTTCATCAGCCCTTGCTACCCACTATACAAATTAAATCAAACACCAAAGAGGGCAGAGGAAAGAAAACCCAATTAGAAAGAAAACAATTAAAGAAGTTTGTGCTTTAAAAGAGAAACATCATTCTATTTAAAGACTGTCATATAATTGCTAAATCTTATTTACAAGGTCCATAAGAAGGCATCTATCTCTTCCAAATCATACTTGGACAAGCATCTCTTTTTCAGCATCCCTAAGAAGGAGTCATCAACCGTTTATGTGAAGACCTGTCATGTATCAAAGCAACCCAGTGCTCTTTTGGATAGCTCCCTTATTTCAAACCAAATCTGGCTCTCTGTAACTTCTACCCATTGCTCCTATTTCTATCTTCTGGAGCCCAACAAAACAAATCTAGTTCTTCTGTATGACAGCCCTTCAGATTCTTGAAGATGGCCATAAAGTGCCACCAAAATCTTCCATCTTCACATTGTGCCCTATGGCCTAAGAGATGGCAAGAGCCTAGAACAGGGGTGGGGAACCTGCAGCCTTGAGGCTACATGTGGCCTTCTAGGTCTTTGGGCATGGCCTTTTGATTTAGTTCAAGTTTTATACAACAAATCCTTTATTAAGGAGATTGGTGTTTGGATTCAATCAAAGGACATACTTGAGGGCCTAGAGGGTCACATGCGACCTTGAGGCTACAGATTCTCCACCCCTGGCTAGACAGAGGAGTAGAAGGTAGCAAGAGTTCCTGGATCCCAAAGCCTGGATATCTGGAACTCTCACTACTCCACCTCTACCTTAGTTGCTGCCATCTCTTAAAGTAAGAGACAGCCATCTCTGCATCTCTGTGGTTAAGAGGACGTGATCAGTCGATCTCTGGGATACTATGGAAAAGCATAGATCCCCTCCCGGGGCAAGTCTGCTCTCAGCTCTCTGGTCTCTGACCTCTGTGTGCCCCACTCTCTTTGGAGCTCTCCCAAAAGGAAGAAAATAGGTCAGCTCTGCAACTGACCTCCCTTTGAACAAGCTCGGCACAAAGGGGTTGCCCTAACTTACAAGTTGTGCCAAACAATTTATCCCAAATCATCCTCAATGAGTCTACAAAAGAGGCAGCTACACACTCCAGAGGGACATGTAATTAATGTCCCAAACAAAGGTTATTGTGTCTATAACCTAACCAAATTAGATATCTAAGTAGTACAATGGCTAGAGTGCTGACCTTGGAGTCAGGAAGACCTAGCATCAAGTTCTGTCTCAGGCGCTTACTAGCTGGGTGACCAGGCAGGTAACTCTCTCAGCCTCAATTTCTTCATCAGTAAAATGAGAATAATAATAGCACTTATCTCTCAGGGTTGTTGTGAGGATCCAATGAAATAATATACAAAAAGTGATTATTAAACCTATATAAATGTTAGCTGTAATAATAATTAGTAGCAGTAATATCAATATTACTACTACTATGACTACAACTAAAACTAATAATAAAAATAATAATAAATTTTCCCTACACTGGAAAGAAAACTAGATTTGGTGGACCTGGGCTTAATATTAACTCTCACATTTGATATCTATGGATTTTGAACAAATAACATCACTTCTCCAGACCTCAGTTTCCTCATATATAAAATGAAGAGGTTAGACTAACAGTCTTCAAGCTCCCTTGCAGCTTTAAATTCTATGATTTAGCAAACAAGTTGGGGTTAGAGATATAGATTTGGGAGTCATCCAAGTAGAAAGAATAATTAAAATCATGGAAATACAAAAAAAATGTTATATAGAGAAAACAGAGTTGAAGAAAGAGTCTTAAGAGAAACCCACAATAAAAAAGAAACCAGTTAAGATTGAGGAAGAGTCAGATAAACAGTGGAAACCAGGAAAGTGATAGGTCAAGGAAGGAAGAGATTTGGAAAAGGAAGAGAAGGAAGGAAAGAAGGAAGGAATGGAGGAAGGAAGGAAGGAAGGAAGGAAGGAAGGAAGGAAGGAAGGAAGGAAGGAAGGAAGGAAGGAAGGAAGAAAGAAGGAAGGAAGGAAGAATAGAAGGAAGAAAGGAAGGAAGGAAGGAAGGAAGGAAGGAAGGAAGGAAGGAAGGAAGGAAGGAAGGAAGGAAGGAAGGAAGGAAGGAAGGAAGGAAGGAAGGAAGGAAGGAATCATTTATTAAACACGTGTTATGTTCCAGGAATTGTGCTAAGCACTGGAGGGATACAAGTACAAGCAAAAAGAAAAATAGTCCTCAAGGAGCTTATATTCTAATAGGGAAAGACAATGCACAAAAAGGAGCTAAAAGGAAGATGAATAAAGCTACCTACCACAGAAGAAAGAGTGCTGAAAGAAGAATGAATCACAAAGTAGAGACTCCAGGAGGAACTCTGATGGCAAAGGGAAGTGGGCTTTGTAGAGGGATATTCCATGGGGAGCTTCCATAGGGAAGCTGTTTAAGGGTGAGGAGGTCCCAGGAACTGAGGGAAGTTCCAGTAAGAAGGCTTATGGTTCAGAAGTCCAGAGGAAGTCAGAAACAGGGCTGGGAGGAGATGTATTCCACTTCATAATACTGAGTTTTGAATAGCTACAGGATTTCAGTCTGGAAGATGTTTAACAAGCAGTTGGAAATGCAGTACTGAAATTCAGGAGACAGATGATAAATGGGAATAATCAGCACATAAAAGATAACAGAACCCAAGAAAGCTGATGAGATCCCAGAGGGAGAGGGAAGAGAGATCAGGACTGAGCCTTGGAAGATTCCTCTAATTAATGAATAGACAAAGGATAACTGCAGCAAAGGCACTGAGATGACCTCTTAGAATTTACCCTATACATAAAGAGGCGTATCAGATGGATTGGCATGTACTCCAGCATTTAGGAGAAGAGATGTTTAAAAGTTCAGCAATTAGATAAACTGGATCCCATGACCCAAGTCTTTTTTTTTCTCTTTTTCTTCTTTTAAAAAATTTATTTATTTTTAGTTTTCAACATTTACTTCCACAAGATTTTGAGTTCCAAATTTTCACCCCATCTCACCCCTCCCCCCACCCCAAGATGGCATGCATTCTGAATATCCCTTCCCCTAGTCTTCCCTCCCTTCTATCTCTCCCCCCCTTCTCTCATCCCCTTCCCCTCTATTTTCCTGTAGGGCACGATAGATTTCTGTACCCCATTTCCTGTATTTCTTATTTCCCAGTTGCATGTGAAAACATTTTTTTGAACATATGTTTTTAAAACTTTAGGTTTCAAATTTTCTCCCTTCTTCCCTCCCCACCCACCCTCATTGAAAAGGCAAGCAACTCAATATAGGTTACACATGTGCAGTTATGCAAAACACTTCCGTAGTAGTCATGTTATGAAAAACTAACTCTATTTCCCTTAATCTTATCTCACCCCTCCAACGTATTCTATTCTTTCTTTTGATCCTGTCCCTCCTCAGAAGTGTT